CCGTGAGAGAGGCATCCGTCGTCACCGTTACCCGGCGACACGGGGCTCCCAGCGCAGGTCCCAGGGACAGGAACCAAGGTTCTTTCCACATAGCCAGGGCACGGAGACCACGTCGCGTGACCTTGATCTTGCGGAGCGGGTTTCCCCTCGGGGAGAACCCCTTGGTCCTGAGCCACCACTGTAGTGGTCTCATGTACAGCAGGCCGCACGGTAACACGTTGGATGCTGCTGCCATCAGACCCAGAATTCTCTGGAATTCCTTTACAGTGAGTGACTGGCCTAGCTTCACTTGCGTGACAGTCGAGATAATCGAGGCTATACGAGCCGGCGACAGACGTGCCTGCATCGTCGTCGAATCCCATACCACGCCTAGAAAAGTGGTCCGCTGAACTGGCGAAAGCACACTCTTCTTGGCGTTGAGTCTCAACCCCAACCTTCTGATGTGGGCGAGGACGGCATCTCGATGCCGAATCGCCTGATGCTCTGATTGAGCCAGAATCAACCAATCGTCGATGTAATTTAAAATGCGAATGCCCTGGAGACGCAGCGGGGCCAAGGCCGCGTCCATGCATTTCGTGAAGGTTCGAGGAGATAACGCTAGGCCGAATGGAAGGACCCGATATTGGTACGCTTCGCCCCCAAAAGCGAACCTCAGGAACTTCCGATGTTGCGGAAGGATGGAGATATGGAAGTACGCGTCTTTTAGGTCTATCGTGACAAACCAGTCCTCGGACCTGATCTGTGACACGATCTGCTTGAGAGTCAGCATTTTGAACTTGAGCTTCCCTACTGACCGATTTAAGAGGCGCAGGTCTAAAATCGGACGCAGCCCCCCATCCTTCTTTGGAACAATGAAGTACCGGCTGTAATACCCCAGCTCTCTGTCGGGAGGAAGAACTCGTTCTATCGCCCCCTTCAGTAGCAGAGCTTTCACTTCTTGTTCCATAACCAGAGCCTGCTCGGGGGTCACCACTGTGGGCAAAACCCCCGAAAACGAGGTGGACGCGACCTGAACTGGATCGCGTACCCGCGTTCGATAGTCTGCAGGACCCAACGAGATATATTTGGAAGACTTCCCCATTCTACCAGAAATTCTACTAAGGGTACCAGCCTCTCGAGACTGGCCTCTGGAGTAGTTTTTAAAACAGAAACAGCGCCCTGTGACCGCGCACAGGCAGGGTTTAACGACCGTTCTGTATCGCTCCTCGGAGCAAACGAGCGTCCCTCGGGAAATCGCTCGCTGGGACCGTCTGCACCCCCCATTACAGGCAGGGTTGGCAGAACGAACCCCTGAGGGCACCGAGAGAGAGCGGGCGCCGGATTCAGCGGCGAACACCTCTGTCTCACGGTGGGGACCACCCTCAGTAGCCTGACACCAGTGGCGTCAGGACTTCTTCGACGAAGCCTTCCTGGCGACAATAACCGTCCTCAGATCGGTTCTATCCCGGGAAGACCTCGCCTGAGAACGCCGCGTCTCAGCCCAGTTTTGCTGGGGAGGAGCCCGAGACGCGACGCTCTTCTTCTGCTGCGCCCTATGCGAGGAACCCGACGGGCGGGGCTGCTCTCGCCCAGCAGCCCCCGAAGGATGAGTACGGAGGGGGAGACATTTCTGGAGCGCCGCTGCCTGCTTTTTTCCCTCTTGGAATCTCTCAATCACTGCATTCACAGAACCACCAAAAAGACCTTCGGTCGACAGCGGCGCATCCAGGAGAAAAGCTTTATCTTTCTCCTTCATATTAGCCAGATTTAGCCATAAATGCCTCTCCGTGGCCACCAGGGCTGCCATAGAGCGGCCGACTGATCTGGCCGTCTCCTTGGTGGCACGGAGAGAAATATCTGCCGCCTGACGCAGCTCATTAATCACGTCAGTGCTGACGACCTCCCCCTCGCTCATATCCTTCAGCAGATCTGCTTGATACGCCTGGAGGATGGCCATCGTATGCAAGCAAGATGCTGCCTGTCCCGCCGCTGAATAAGCCTTGCCCACCAAAACCGAAGTATTTCTGAGTGGCTTGGTGGGCAACGCCGGTGTTTTAAAAGACGATGCCGTCTCAGGAGAAAGATGGCTCGCCAAAACTTCCTCCATCCTCGGCATCGCCCCATAACCGTGTCCCCTAGACCCAGCAAAATTAGCATACATAGAGGACTGTTGTGTCAAAATTCTAGCTGACACTGGTTTGTTCCACGATCTACACACCTCGGTGTGTAAATCGGGAAAGAAGGGCAAACACCGGCGTGGAGGTAGTGAGTGTGATTTTAAAAATCTCTCATCCATTTTACTTTTTACTCACGACTCTTGTTTTTCAACTGGCCATTCAATGGTTAATTTTTCCACAGCCCGAGTCAAAACCTCCATCAGCTCTACATTCGCGGGAGACTGGGATGGCGAGTCCCCGATCTCCACTGAGTCCATAGACTCTGCATCCACACTTTCAACATCCAGCTCCTCAGAACTGGATAATTGAAGTGATGGCGCCTCAGCCCGGGCAGGAGAAACCGCAACGCGGACCCCCGCAGCGAGAACTGAGGCACTGGATCTACCAGGTAAGGGCAGAGAAAGGGCGGGGCCCGTCTCAATCCCCGCTGATAGATCCATCTGCGAACCCCACGACGCAAGCCTTCGCTGTGCCTCGGCAGCAGCGGGGCCCGAGCCGCGGGGAGCGCGCACCGAACCACTCTCCTCGAAGAGTGCCCGGCGGGAGCGAAGTGTCTTCATGGGCAGACACTCGCAGTGCTCACAGCCGGCCCCCTCGAGAGCCGACTGAGCATGCTGCACTCCCAAACAAACAACACACAGATCGTGTGTATCCCCACCCGTGATGAAGCGCGGGCAGGGATGAACACACTTTCTGAAATTCTGCTGTTGTTTGCTCGCCATATTTCAATATATATATATATATACAATATTAGACAGACAGACAATATTCATACATAGAGCGCTTGTGAAGACTCAGAAGCTGTTGCGCTTGTGTTTCGGGGATGCTTTATAGTTTCCTGGTCGATACGTCACCCCGCCTATGACGTTCCGTCTCGCCATTGGACAGATTTCATACGTGCTTCATGACTCGTCACGCAGAGGCGTTCCCACGGCGTTTACACGCAGCTCGAAGTTCCCTGAATGGGAACTAATGTTAACAAAGACTAATAAATGCTTTAAAACTATTTTGGTCATTTTTAGTTCATTCTAATATGTAAATGAATGTTAACAAAATGAGACCTTATTGTAAAGTGTTACTATTTAAAAAAAAATAAAAATAGTCAAATATTAATTTCTACACTAATTATAAATGACAGGGAGGTCATTGCATGTGTTGGTGCGTTAAAGTCTTGGCGCTTTCAGCGACTGCTGACTAACCTGTTGTTAGTGGCTTGAGGATGGAGATTCAGCCAGCTGCTCAGTTGTTTAGGACAAGAGGAAGGAATCCAGAGAGGGAGCCAAGGCTGAAGTGCAGTTCAATTTTTGGTTGAGTGTCCTTTGGTCAGTTCTTTTGGGTCTTACAAAACTTGACCATGTTTAAAAATTAACCATGTTTAAACCTGCAAACAGTTTGGAAACAGTGAGGATAATTTTGGTGTAGTCTTAAACAGAAAGAATTCATATTCAAGGTGTGGTCAGCTTCTGTAAAACTCAATCAGGGTTCCTACAGTCATGAAAAAAACTATAAATATCAAGGAATTTTTCAATTCTTTTATTTGTATTTTTTTAATGAATTGGTACTGTTCTGTTTTGTAGTTTGCTGAATGCTGACCTAGTTATTGCTCTTTGCGTGGAGTACAAAAGTTGTGCTTGTGAGCTTTTTTTAGTTGGTTCTTTTTAATCCGTTTTAACTATTTACAAACTGGTTTGGTGATTTGCTAGCAGATTGGTCTGAATCTAGGAATCTGGCATGGTTTCTCTCTGATTGTTATTTTTTGTGTTTTGAAAAGTGGCCCCTGTCCTGTGGCCTCTCAACTAGGAATATTCACATTGTGTGTTCTACCTCCAGCATTTTGCGGTCAGGGGATCCTGGAACTAGGCCAAAATAAATAAAGCCCTTCCAGGCTGGAGTGCTGTTGTGCTCTGGCATGCAGGGTGGGCTTCAGGGAGTCAGACTCTAGGGAGACAATGCATTAAACTCTGCTCTGACCGCTCAGCGTTCGCATGCTGGCTTTTCACGGTTGCTGTCATGGGAACTGGAGAGAGTGAAGAAAGCACAAGCCAAAACCTATATATTACTGGGCAAATGTCAATCAATATATTCCATAGGCAGATATTTTAATTTAGGAATATTGGCATTGGTTGGAGTGTTTGCTGGATCTCTGATGTCATAAACGTGTATCGTGGCCCCAAAACGGACACCTAAGACACTTAAATATAATTACAAATATTTCTTGAGCACCAAATCCATATATTAGAATGATTTATGGATTTGAAGGATTATTATGTGATATTGAAGCAATGTAATTATCATCAAATAAAACTAAAACCATAAAAAAATCCGTTATCCAAAACAAAATAAACGTTAACTGAAATAAAATATAATGTTATACTTTATTTCATCTAGTTGGCAAAGCATTATTGTTTTTCACCTTTTTACACAGTCAGGACTATGTACAAACACAATATTTTTTGGCACACACAGAACAGACATTTTTTAAATATTCACAAAATTGTTTGTTTGGGTGTTAAATTTTCAACAGCCTTTCTAAGAAATTGCTTACTCCACCTTAAATTGTGAATTGTAAATGTTCAAACACTTTTGGGTCACTGTGGTCTGATCATGAATCAACTTTGTATGAAATCTTTGGGTCCTTTGTCAAATTCATAACATGTAATGTTTCAATATATATATATATAAAAAAATTGGTTCGACTTACGTGTTTGTGCTGGCTTAATGTTTCAAGTTGACTAAATTTAAAATTAAGGCAGCGCAAACACTTATATATTTTAGATACTCTCAAAGGTTTCTGAGAATCCACTTGTGAATAATGGGGAGTTATTTTTATGTCTTGAAAAATAGGGGCACCTATCTTGATACCAT